ATGCTGTGGAGTTGATCTCCACATCTTCTCACCCTTGTACTGCTTCTGATCCGAAACAAGGAAAGGAGAGGGTTGGGAACAACTGGGGATCTCTTCTCAGATTTGGGAGGTAAGTTAGGCTATGCTGCAGTCATGCCTGAATATGGTTCCTGTTTCTCTACCCCCATGCCCAGGACACCTGTTATTTCCATCAGCTGGTTAGGACTGGTCTCCAAAATCCAGGAATGTCCCAGCTGAACCAGGATGTATGGTCACCTTATGAATCACCCTCAGTTGGCTACTTGGCCTTCAGTGTTGGTCTTGCTTGACTATTTCAGTCTTTTAGAGACAGGGATGAACTTAAACCCATATCCAGTCCCCCCCAGCTTTAGGTCTCTCTTGCACCCAATCCCTGATGCAGCTTGGCTTAGTTCTTTCTACAACTAATGCAGTTTGGCTTAATTTGCTGACTTATCATTGGATCCAGCTTCCCAGAACTCCAAGTCATACTGCAGACTTTGAAACTCACTCTTCAGGCAGGAGGCCAGGGGGAAAGTGGCATTGACAGTCATTGAGTTTTCCTTTACTTTCACTCCCAGGGCCAGCGGAGCCAGCTCCACTGTAATTGAGTAACCAGGTGTCAGAGCAGCGCTAGCTTGTGAGCTGGAGTGCAGCTAAAGGCTGCCTTCTGAAAAAGGCCACATAGAAATCTCCCCTAGACAAGGTACCCCATATGCCTCAGCCTCTTAGATGGATTCTGACAGTGAAAGGTCAGTGCTCTAACAACCCGGTTTTGGGGCTGCAATAGCCATTACCTAGTGATAAACATGATAGGCAACTCTTGGTCCTGCAACATCCATTTGACATGTCCCAATAAGCACTAGGGCTCTGTGAAGCTTTGGGTGCTGATTTGATTTGGAGGAGATTTGGCCTGATTCGGCAGCTGAATCTCTGAATCTGAATCGAATCAGGAGACCAGTTAAAAGGTCTGAATCAATTCAAAGCTCTCCAAATCAATTTGGAAAAGATTCACAGAGCTTTGGAGATTCAGGCAGTCCCCGCTCACTGCCTCAGGGAGCTGGACCTGGATTCCATGCTGGTAAGTAGGGGGCTGGAGGAGGGGGGGCTGGAGGAGGGGGAAGGGAAACATGGGTGTCCCCTGCCAGGCCCTATGCCTGCATGCTCCCCCAAGCCCCCCTGAGCACCCCCGACCTCCGCCCACTCTCCCAGCCCCCACCCCCCATGGCTACCCTGCCTAGTCCCAGCTCCCTGCTCTTTAAAAAAAAGCCCCCACTCACTGGCTGCTACCAGGCAGGGGGGATCCCTGCTGCCCCCCACTGCACCATGCTATGTGGGGGGCTCTTCCACAAGCTCAGCCCCCCCCATGGCTGTCACAGCTGCCCCAGCCCTTAGCTCTTTAAAACAAAAAAAAGCCCTGCACTCACTGGCTAGTGCAGTAACTTTGGGGCTTTTGGGGGCTCATGGCAGAGTCCCTACGCAGTGTGAGGCAGCAGGGGGCAGCGGAGATCACCCCCCCACCTGGCAGCATCTGATGACTGCTGGGCTTTTTTTTTCAAGGAGCCGGGAGCTGGGGCCGGGCAGGGCAGCCATTGATGGGGCTGGGAGAGCAAGCAGGGGATGGGGCCAGTTCAGAGATTCAGTCGATTCGGTGGTGGCTGAATCTCTGAGTCAGATTTGGCCAAATTGATTTGGGATGGTGATTTGAATCACTGAATCAAATCACTCTTCCCCGAATCGGCTGAATCCGAATCTGAAGTTAATACTAGCTGCTTTGCACAGACCTAGGAAACATCTACTTCTGGCAAAGGCCCAAGTTGTAGCCAGCACTCATTCAGGTTCCCTTTCCAGAAGTGTAGCTGGCCTTACTAATCTCTTACAATTTGCTCAAATTGTGGTCTATAAATAAAGTAAAGGGTGAGCCTACAGAATCCTGATTAATCCTCACATCAGACTAGATTCTAGAAACTGAGGCATATAACTAGGTTCTAGCCAATATAATTAGGTGTACTGGGTCACAACCAGTAGAGCTGTCCAGTTGCTTTTTAAGCCTCTGATAACGTATACTTGATGTAAAACCAGTTGATGGTAGTATTCAATGGCTGGAGTGTTTCAAAGCTGACATAACATTGATGCAATTTCTGTCTTATCATCCACTCAACATAGAGGTTAATTAGTGATGTAACCACCCAAGGAACCAAGTTATATATGCTGTATGCTTTGAGATTAAAGTATAAATTATAATGATCTATAAAAACAAAGTTTCCCATGCATCATGTATGCTAGGAGTATCAAACTCATCTGGCCCCATGGGCTGGATGAGGGGCACAGGGCTGATCATTTGGCTAGACTGGACCTGCAGACCAGCCCCATGCACCAGAGCCAGCAAGTCTGGTCTAGCCTTCTAAGACTATCTCTTTCAGATATTGGCGTAACCCAAAGAGGCAATGGGAATCAGTCCCCTAAACAATCTGATGCTGGTACCAGTTCAACAACTCAGAGTGGCTGATAAGACAGCATGCTGTGCCTGTGTTGCTCCAGTAAGGTGGCTCCACATAAGAGATCAATTGAGTCTGCTAGAGTGGGGTAATTACTGCACTCTCATAGATGCCAGCATCATGTTCAGTGAGCTTTTAAGTGTTCCCACTGCCATTTTTCAGTGCAGGATGCTGATTCACATGCCGCTCTAGGAGCTTTACGTAGAGTGGCTTGTGGAGCCACTCTAATTAAAGCACCCCCCAACTCCCGGAGCATGTGTAGAAATGAATGTGCCCTGGAGCAGCCCCCAGCACCATGGGATTGGGGCTGGCACATGCTGAGTAGAGCATGCAGGACAGTTTGAGACCCATAGGCAGCACTGAGGGCTGGATGACAGGGCTCCGCAGACTGAATCAGGCACACAAATTGTATCTTTGACATGCCTGTTGTATGCCAAAGCACCTCATGTTTGTCAGAGACAGTTTAGTGAATGGTGAAAGCTGTTAACACTGGTAAGAACTCCAGGAATAATATATATATATTTCCTGAATATAGAATATAAATTCTGAATAATATTGACATGTTCTATTAATAGATTTGGCACAGTATTTAAGACGTTATTAGTTAAAGAACTCAATTAGCTGCAGCAAATATTAATTGCCTGGTTATTATTACTGATGCCTGTAAACATTATAATAGCTGAGAGTCATATTCTGTGCCATGCTGAGTCATAATATTTAGACATATAAATAAAAATAAATATAAAAGCAGCATTCTTATGAGAAGGGGTCTGATTAGTAAGGAAGAGGCTCCATAATTATTACACCAACATGTAGAACAAAAAAAGGACTGCAGTTGTGATAGATGCAAAAGCATTACTGCCACAAGACAAAGAGATGATACAAACCAGTTGACACTCATTGTAAGCTAACAGCAGGACTTTTTAAAAAGCCTAATGACACTTAGCCACACTTTCCTGCAGAATGGTACAATGGGCAGGAGTTCATTTTATATAGCCAGGAATTTTTAAACAAGAGAATAAATTCAGTTGTCAGTTGCAGTGGTATAACTAAGAACAGAATCTAGTCATTCATTCTTTGCTTTCTGTGGAGAAGAGGATAAAACAATGCTAAACAATTCTTAACTTCAAACCTAGACAAATGACAGAACTGCATTAGTAATTGTCTTTGTACTACAGTGGGTAGGACTGACATTTTGGACTGGATCCCTAAAGTAAATTTGGTTCTCTCGACAGTCATAACAGGGCAGCTCCATGCCCTGGGCAGTAGCTCTACATGGGACAGTGCCAGCTTTTGTGCTGCCAGTGGTAGTGATGTGGCCAGCTGCTAGTATTGGAAGAAGCAATTATGCACCCCTCAAAGGTAGAATGACCATACATCCCAGTTTGGCTGGGATGGTCCTGGATTCTGTAGGCTGGTCCTGGTTGGTTGGTAAAAAGTCCTAGGCTGGAGTCTGTTGAGGAGGTGGAGTGACATGGAGCACTTACACATGTGATGGACCTCTGCCCCAACTTGTGCTAATTAGCATGCATTGGAGCAGACTCGATTAATTTAGTCTGCTATGAGCCTGCTGAAATGTGCTAATTAGCATACTCATTCAGCCTCAGTGCCATGTGTATTCAGTATACCCCCACACTTCAAAATGGCGGTGGGGGTACTTTAACTAAAGCTTGTTGAACGAACTTTAGTTAAAGCACCCCCACTACCATTTTGAAACATGCGAGACTGAATACATGTGACACTACAGGCCCTTTAATTACAGCATCTCTCAAAGCTGCTGTAGTTAAGCTGCCCCCACCCTGCCCCATAGCATGTGTATAGATGCCCATGATGTCTAGGCTGGTGGTCAGGCAGACATTGCCGCTGCTGTATGGGAGTAAGGACAAGCCATGTGTTGGTGGGATGACACCTGCTGTAGTTGGCCCACTTCCCCCTCACAGCAGCAGTGGTGTCAAGATTAGGAAATATATGTTTAAATGCCCCTGATGGAACAAAGTGCTAAATTAGCTTTTTTTTCTGTTGAAGCATTTAAAATTGAAGGCTTAGATTTTTACCTTAACATTGCAGTGAGCAACATTGAAAACCTGACCCATCCAGGTTTGGAAAAAAAACAGGCAGTGGAGACTAGGTAGTGAAACTACAAGAGTCTATACTACTGTTCTCAACCAGGATGTTGCAGAACCCTGGTCTGCACTGGGATCATTTCAAGGGTGCCATATACTATTAGCACCATTAGAAGTTTCACAAGATAAACCCAGAGATTTTAAAATGGAATCCATAGCATTAAAGTATTCTGATCAGTTGTGGTCTTTTCAATTCCTTTACAACAGGAACATTGTAATTAAAAAAAAAGTGAAAATTAAAAATTAGCATTTTGTGAGAGGTGCCCTGAGTCTAACAAGGGATTCCTAGAATCTAAAAAGGTTGGGAACCACTGGTTTACACCATTTGTAGAGATGGCCCAAAGGTTTCATTGCTCCTTATGCCTAGTGTGTTTCCTTTAACAGTGGCTTCATTATTCCCCTTGGAAGTGTGGTGGCAGAGTGGTTATAATGTCTTCTTTGTCTCTGGAGGTAAGACTTAAGAGTCTAGAACTGTGCACTAAATTGCTCCATTCAGTCCTACTGTACATGGGTACCTGTCATTTGAGTGGTAGAGCCAAAAAAGCTGAATATGATACCAACTATGTTACCAGCTACAGAAAATGCCATACCTTCTTAACTACAGTAGCCCAATTGCCCATTAAGGTTGTCTAGACCCTTGATTTGACATTATTTAATTGGTCTCACTGCTACAAATTTAACTTTCCAAGCATGGGACAACTGACTTAAAATTTTCCTATTGAGGTGTGACATTTATGAACTTCTATGTTTATAAAAAAATGCAAAATGTTTGATGTTGCAAGAGGCAATAGTACGGAGATAACTCCATGGCCATTAAATTAGGTTAATGATATTTCCAGAACTGTGATTTATGCTGCAAAATAGGAATATATTTTTGTTCTCTAACATGACTGATTTGACAGTGTGGATTTGACTGATGAGTACTAAATGCAGATAAGTGACCACAGTTTTCATGCTAATATATTGCAGTGATGTCAGTGTTGCAAAATGTCAGATTGTTTAGTCAAATCTCGGAGTATTAGCATTTTGTTGAATCCTTGAGTTGATTCAATAGCAAATGGAATGTGTCACTGGATAGCATATGCCACTAAATAGTTCTATAATTAAAACAGTGCATTGCTTAACTTGCACTGTCTTGCATTAAAATCAAATGAACACACAAGTTTCTCGAGAGAAATGAAAGGGAAGAAAAACCATGAATTGAATAAAATAGAAACTGCTATCCAATAAGACCTCAAGATTATCTACCGTATAATGTGTTTTTGGTAAAAGCACAATGAAACCTAAGAAGATAAAAGATATTAATTTTTAAAGGATTCATTTTTGTTATCGCTCCCTGACTTATTCCACTCAAGGACAGAAAACAGAACATATCTTTTCTGAATTTCCATTTTGGCTAACTTGTGTTACTAAAAATGCCTGAGTGTGAATATATGCAAGTTCTGTTTTACATATGTCTGTGCTGGAAGGGAATGGATAGCAAAAGTCTACTGGATTATAAAGTTATCAAGTTATCCTTTTGTTTGCTTTACAGTACAATTTTTTTTCTCTTTGTTTCCTAACCTAGCCAGCCAAGAGCAAACAGATGTTGCTGTCAACCTTCCAGAATAATTTACAGTAAATGTTCTTTGATTTTGTTCCATTAAAGGCGCAGAAAGCAGAGCAATTCTCTGCCATAACTCACAGAGCTTCACAGGTAGCACTATGAGTTACACTGATCCCCTGGACCCAACAGAAATTTGCTATTGGGTTCAGAGGGTTGGGGATCCAGTTGCTGGCTGTAGGCCTGCAGCCAGTCTTCTCTAGCAATGCCCCTCCACTAGGCCTATGCGAAGTGGCTAGTATTCACTTTGGATTTGGATTTGGCTGATTTGGGGGACAGTGATTTGATTTGGTGATTCGAATCACTGTCCTGAATTGATTCAGCCAAATCTGATTCAGAGATTCAGTGCCCGCTGAATCAGCTGAATCTCCGAATCGAACAGGTCACATCCCCTGACCACTCTCCCAGTCCTATCAATGGCTGCCTTGCCTGGCCCCAAAATCCCAGTACTTAAAAAAAAAATCTCTGCACTCACTGGCTCCTGTCAGGCAGGATGGTGGGGCAATCCCTGCTGTCCCCCACTGCCCCATGCTGCATGGGGGGGACTTGCCATGGGCCCCAGAGGCCCTGATAGCCACTGCAGCATCCAGTGAGTGCGGGGGATTTTTTTTTTTAAGTGTTGGGATGCTGGGGCTGGTCAGAGCAGCCATTGACAAGGCTGGGGGAGTAGGTGGGGGGTGGGGGACACTCGAGGGGGCTGGGAGAGCAGGCAGGGGATGGGGCCTGGAGGGGGTTGCCCCATGGTCCCCTCCCCACCCTCCTCCAGCCACACGCCTCGCCCCCTACTTACTGGCACGGAGCCCGGGTCCAGCTCCCTGCGGCAGCGAGTGGGGACTGGCTGAATCTCAGAATCTCTGAATCTTCTCTGAATCTTTTCTGAATCAATTTGGAGGCTTCAAATTGATTCACACTTTTTTACTGGTCTCCTGATTTGATTCCGATTCAGAGATTTGGCCCTGGAATAGGGCTGAATCTCCTCTGAATCAAATCGGCAGCTGAAGCTCCGCACAGCTTTACCCTCTCAGCCCCAGCACTATTTTTACAATGAAAGGGGGAAAGGGAGCAGAGGCAACTCATTCTAGGGGTTCTCCAGCCAGTGCTGGAAGGTAGGGAGATTAGATTGGAGCCCCCACCCCCACTACAGTTGGGGCTCTAATCCACCTGCTCCACCCTTCAATGTCAGCTGAAAACCCACAGACTGAACTCCCTCTGCTCTCTTCCCCCCCACCCCCCGTTCTGAAAGCAGCACTGGGGCTGAGAGGTGGCACAGAGACAAGTTACTGAAGATGCTCCAGTGTTGGAAAACCACAACCCCTTTTTCTTTTCATAGAATCCATAGACATTAGGGGCTGGAAAGGACCTCGCGAGATCATGACTGTTTTATTTACACTAATACTCATCTCTGTTAACAAGCCTATTTTTACCCCTGGAGATGCTTTTCTTGGTCATGCCCTTTAAATTTGGCAGCTGCAACTCTACAGAAGCCATTTTGAAGCTGCACTTTACTTATTGCTATTTCCTATCCTCAAGCTGGTAAGCAGAAGTAATGCTTTTCTTTAGTTTTTTCTTTGTTCTTGGTGAAAAAAAATGGTTCATTCCTCTATCTTCTTTGTGATAGCTTAAAGAATTCCTTTAAGTGCTTATCTTAAGTGGTCTTGTATTATCTTTTTGGCCAAACAGTATTCCTAAATTCCTCAGTCAGTGCTTTGTAATTTGAATTAGAATTCCGTTAAAATTAAATGGAATGAGAGTTGAACAAAGAGGGAAGGAAGGGTAAAAATAAATAAATTAAATTCTGCCAACTCTACTTATCTGCTATTTATCCCCGTAGTACTTTAAAATACTTGAAAAGGTTTGTTGCAAAGACTCAGGACACTGAAAAACAGATGTTTAACAACTTCATTTAGACTTTGAAGGCATTGCAGCTGCAATGTGAAAAGAATAATGTGTAGGCTCTACCCAGAGGTAAACTTAAAAGAGGAACTGGGAATCTTTTATCCATTCAGCCACCAAATGGAAACTTTCATATTTAGGCTTAGTTGATGCAAGTCAAATCAATCTAATTCTCTTGTTCAGAACTGTAAACTTAAGGAACATTAATCATGTAGAAAAAGTGCCCATCCCATCTGACCTCCATGGTGGCAATGGAGATAAAATGTGAAGGTTGTAGATACTCTAGATACAACAAAGATACCAATAGCATGGCCGTATATATTTTAATAATAAGTCACTAATTTTGTTGTTCCTGATAGGGCTTTTGATTCCTGATTTAGATTTTTTAAAGTTATTTATTCTTCTATTTGGCCAGATATGTTAGTTCAGGTTTGTAAATGTTTAAGAATCCCCCAAACTCTTAACCATTTGATCATAGGATCATAGAAAATAGGAACCTCATAAGGTCATCTGATCTAGTCCTCTGCTCAAGGCAGTATCATCCCTGACTAAACCATCCCAATCAAGTGTCTGTCCAACTTGATCTTGAATGGAAATTCCACAAATTTTCTAGGTATCCTGTTCTAATGCATGCATCTGTCATAGTCAGAAAGTTCTTCCTAATCTTCAACTTTCATTTCCTCTGCTGCAGCTTGAGGTCATAGCTCCTAGTCTTGTTCTTTATGGTCACAGATAAAAGCCCATTTCCATCCTCTCTATAATTGCCTTTCAGGTATTTGAAGACAATTATCAAAACACTTGGCAGCAAATGTTTTTACCAGCTAATCTTCATGGTTATTCAATCTGTTTGACTCCCGTGAAACCACACAAACAGTGTAGCATGACATGAAATAAATATCACAAAGGTGAAGATAAACTATAGGTCATTATGTGCTTGAATTGAGCCCAGCTTATTTAATAAAATGGAAGTGAATGATTTGTTAATGACTACTTTATTGATCCCTTGTGCTCCAGCAATTTGGTTATACAGTATATTAGAAGCTAATTATTTTCCCTTTTCACCTAAAATGTTAATGACTATGGACAGTTTGCAAGTAAATTGGTGTCATGCATTGTGATGACAGTACACAAAACAAGTATCAGTCTGTGCAGTCATCAGTTTACAGTGTATCAGCATGAATTTAGGACAAAACCAATTTGAATGCTTTTTTTCCAAAGGCCATTTTATGTCAAAATATCTGTGAAGTGTGACCGATATGCTAGGAGTCAGTCAGCTGGACTGATAGTGACTTTCAATTTAACCCTGATTTTGATTTTTGCCTTAATTTTTTTCTTGTAATTTCCTTGATGTTGTTGATGGAAAAAAAGTTTCTTTAAAGCCTATAGAGGCCAACATGTCCTTTAAAACATATTATGTATACCAGTTATCCTGCAGTATTATCATCATGAATTTGACACAGAATTAGACAGCTATAATGATAAGCATGATTCCTGTTATTTACTCGATTGTCTCTCACCTTTGTTGCCAGCTGTCCAACTGTCACAGGCCAGCTGGGCACTGTGAGTATATCAATTTAGTTGCAGACTGACTGAGCACTGCACCTTTATTAGCCACTGGGCTTTTTGGGTCGGGATCGAGGAGGTGATGTTGGAAAGGAAAGAAATGACAAGTTTCACTTACAAAAAGGAATGAATTTTACTTATGACAACAAAAGATATAGTTTGCATATATAATAGTTAATAAAAAGGTTAAGATAATAAACAGACAACATAACCATACAGATTAAAATTGACAGTGATAATAAAACAGGTAAAGAAATTAACCAAGAGTTCCCACTTGGTTAGTAACTTATCAATAGTCGCTCGGTTAGAAGATGCATGTCAAGTTAAATCAGTGAAGTCAGACGTTTCTGAACTGGGCTGCCCAAAGGAGAACCGGTGGAAGCCCCTCAGT